CATTCACTGGTTCTTCACCAATTCTTGGAAGACCTGAGAACAAGGACCTTCTCTTACATAAACACAATATAATCATCAAATTCAGGAAATTTAACATCGATACAATATTGTTATCTAATATAGCGAATTTTCAAATTTGTTAATTTCCCCAAACCACCCTTATACTTAGGGCAATTACCACCCCTCTGCCCCTCATAAGGATTTCATGTGGCCTAAAACTGTGGTATCTTGTTAGCCTCTTTTATCTGGAATAGGCTTTTTCATGCCACTGATAGTTTTGAAGACCCCAGGCGAGCTGTTTTGCAGACAGTCGCTCAATTTGGCTTAAGGAGTCATGGGGTCCGGGTTTCCAGTCTGGGTTCCTCTGAGGCCTGGGAGAGCCACATCCTTTCTCTACTTCTTAGTTTCCCCAAACTACAGAATGAGAATGAAAATACCTAGCACTTGGGCGCCTGGATGGCTCAGTCAGTTTAGCATCTGCCTTTGGCTCAGGTCATAATCCCAGGGTACTGGGATCGAGTCCCACATCGGGCTCCCAGCTCAGTGGGGAGTCTGCTTCTCCCTCTCCCTCTGCCCCTTCCCCCACTCGTGCTCTCTCACGCTCTCTCTCTCTCTCAAATAAATAAACAAAATCTTAAAAAAAAAAAGAAAATACCTAGCATTTAACTCAAAGGGTTAATGCAGGAATGGATGTAACATACTCAACAGAGTGCACAGCACTTAGTAAGTGCTCACTTAATATGAGCTTCTACTATGTTTAAAAAAAAAATAGCATCAAGTCAAATCTCATGTGTATTGTTTTAAATGTAGTGGGTGGGTCCAAGGTTTTTGTGAAAGCCAAATCCTGCTGTGTGACCTGCTCCATCTTCCTGGGTGTAAATGAAGATGCTCTCGTGGGGTCAAACTCCTGCCCAGCTGCTTGGCTCTGGCAGAGACCCTGGCCCTTTGTGGGGTTATGAGGCTGAAATCCATCTTACCATCACATCCTGAATAGTTAAGAGGATCCTTTCTTTGTCTGTATTCCTTGCAGGGTCATGGCATGTGTGGGCATCCAGAAGGGTGAAATGAAAATCACAGGGCGTGGTGTTGGCGGAAGACTTGGTACCCTAGGGGCAAGCAGAGAGAATGGGCGCAGGAAAAGCAACTTATGTCCCCAAAGACGTGCTGGGTCCCTTGTCTTCTCTGTTGGTCTCCAGGCCTCCCGTCTCCCTCCTCACCTCCTCCTCCTTCTCTGCTCCCGCTCCCAAAGCGGATCTGGTCAAACTCATCCCTGCCTCACCCACACCACTGCAGGCACATAGAAAGTAAGCAGACTGGGATTTAAACTCGGGCCACCAACCACCTAAACACTGGCTCAGTGAGGACTGAGTGAGGACCGGCGTGGAGGTATGGCCACCACATCTTGCTGAATAAAAAAGGTGGGGTTATCAAATAGGATGGATGGTATATAATCCCATCTTTGGGAAAGTAACAATAAGAAATAAGGGAGGGGCACCTGGGTGGCTCTGTCAGTTAAGCGTCTGACCCTTGGTTTCGGCTTAGGTCATGATCTCAGGGTCGTGGGATCAAGCCCGCATTGGACTCCATGCTCAATGCTGAGTCTGCTTGAGATTCTCTCTCTCCCATCCCCTCTGCCCTCTCCTCAAATAAATAAATACAATCTTAAAAAAAGTCAAGGAAAAAACAGTACTCACTGGGAAGTTATTTATAAGGTCATCTAAAACAGAATTACCCAAGCAATGGGATGGCCCTAAAAACAATCCTTCATTTTTTAAGCCTCACCATTGAAATTACTGGAGGGGGACTGAAGGGATTTGCTGTGGGGCCCTGCTGGGGACCAGTGGGGTGGCCAGCGATGGCACAATAGAATCTCTGCCGTACCCACAGGTGGGTGAGCCGTTGTGGGCCTTGGCAGAGTCCACAGGGGGCAGAGCTGCTGGGGACACAGCTTGTGACTGGGGTTTAGTTGTTTCCACATGTCAGCCAGTAACAATGACTTAAAACACTGAACGGTAGTTGTGGGCAAATAACCAGTTCACCCCACTCCAGGGTCCACACAGTGGAGGGAAAACTCAGAGCCAATAACTAAACTCGCGGACTACCACTCACTGGGAATGGGCCAGGACTGGAACATTCCAGATCCACCACCTCCTCTTGGATCTAATCAACACATACATATAATGAATATAAGAAATCTATATTCTGGATGGATATACCCATCTATGATCTCTGGGACAGTGGGTTATGAAAAGACCTTTATGTTCTTTGTTATCAGTTGAATTCTTTATATAGACTGTGCATTATCAGGGGAAAGAAAGACATCTTACTAATAGAAAAGACTGTGCACTTTGTTTCATTCCTGATACATAAATGGAGCCCTATTATACACTGCAACACAAAGCCCAACATGACTGAGACCTGGCTCTTTGGTAGAACTCTCTGGAAAGAGGCATCCTGTTTTCATCCAAGTTCCTGAGCTGCTCAAAACCCTACAATGGCTTCCCCTCTGACTCAGAGCAGAATCCCTCGCCTTTACTACAGCCTCAAAGCCCTGGGCCATCTGAGCCTCGGCCTCACCTCTTTTCCTCGCCGGCTCACTCACCCAGCGCCCAAACACACTGGCGTGCCCCCTGTCCTCCCGCCTCGGGGCCTCCGCACCTGCTGCTCCTGTGCCCGGCATGCTCTTCCCCACATGCCTCACTCCCCGGCTTTCTCAAGAACTGAGCACAGAGCGAACGAGAAGCCCCTGTCCATCTTTCTCCAGCCCTTTGCCATTTCTCTGATAAGCCCCATTGCCTACTGTCTGTTTTGTCGTCAGTGTATAGAACGGGGCCCCAGATCTGGAGTGGGGACCGTGGCCCATGCAGTGCACACACCTGTCTCCCGGGGCGGCTGCTCCTCAGGTCCCGCCACTGCTGCTGTGTAAGAATGGGGCCCCTGAATGTTCGGGTTCTTCAAGACAAGCCCCCAGTTCACATTTTGACACGGAATCTCCTGATTCTTAAATGTCAGCTAGTAATTCTTTCAAAAGCCCCATGCACGTCAATGGGCTGGAGGCCAACAGAGCATGTCTGCGGCATGCGAGTCTGTGAACTCAGAGCCGCCAAGAAATTGAAGATCGCTAAGGGTATGATTGAAGGCAGACAGGCTGGTGTGTTTCAACAGTGAAGGTCAGATGAAAAGTACACACGCAGGCACGCACTTCCTTTTGCTCCATTTCAGAGCTGGTCCTGCAAACAGTGTGAGGTGGCTGAGTATATTTAGCCACATGCCTTTTTTCCCCCTTTCTCTCTCTCTCTCTCTCTCGTTCAGATTGCATCTCTTACGGCTTCTGCCTTGGCCAAAAACTAGCGTCACCATTTTACTCTTTCACTTAGCAGGAAATAAGTCCAAGGGGAAATTGACTGTGAAGCCTTACGGAGTGCCCCCTCAAGATGGGGAGGAAAAGGAAAGAAAGAAGTACAATCAAGCACTCACGGTGGAGAAAAGGAAGTGTTGGCAGGGCAGGGCGATGCGGATTCAGAGCACGCGTGTACATGGGAATGCTAATGGAAGCTTTAATAGCTCGTGAGGGGCAGGTTGTCTGCTGCTGCGGGGAGCTGGGGAGCTTGCCAAGGAAGGACTATATGTTCATTTAATGGGCGGGGGGGTACCAAATGGCCAAAGGAGATGAGGGAACTACCCCACTTCCTGCATGAAGGACGTGCACACATTCTCTGACGGGGGGCGTGGCTGGGACTGTAACAGACTGAACTTGGCCGCAGACCAGCCTCCCAAACGAAGGGAGACTGACGGCTATTTGCACAGACATGTGCTCAGATCCTGAGCAGGGATCATTCTGTTGATTCAGAAGCGTGCGTGCGCGCGTGCGTGTGTGTGTGTGTGTGTGGTGTGTGGGAGGTGGGTGTTAAAGGCAATAAAGTCCACACCATAATTTTGCCTACTGTAAAATCCCATTTCTAGGGACTGGGTAGGAAACAAGGTCATTGGGTTAGTCTATAAAAACAAAAGGGCTTTCTTTTTTTTTTTTCCAGGAAGACAGAATTTCCAATTTACTTTCAGACTTTTGTAGCCAGGATCTGAACCAAAGTGACCCTTTGCTCCTTACCTGTCCTTCTTTTATGTGCCAAGGACATACAAACAGGCAACACCACAGAGGAATGTTTCCTGGTCACTGTTCGCACAGCTTTTATGAGTCATGTGCGTTTCTTAAAGGTAGGTTTTTGATACAGAAGCAAGACTTTGTTCTTTGATGAAGGCTGTTGCATCTGCAGCCTGGGCCCACAGCGGAACACATGCCTGGCGAATGGGGCAGGGGCTGGCTTAGGGGCCTGACTTTGTCCTGCTGCCTCCCGGTAATTTTGCTTCTATATAACCATGGAGACGATCTACATGCTCATTCTATGTATAAAAGCAATGCCCTTGGAATAAAATCCAACCACCCACGCTCACCCCTTGCCAGGCTCATTGTGCACCTACTGGTCTGCCTCACTGCCCTACCAACCTCACCTCATCCCACACTCCCTCTGGGGCTCACATTGGGCCTACACTGTGCTCCTTCAACAAGTCCAGCCTCACGGCATCTGTGCATGCTGTTCCCTCTGCCTGCAATGCTTTTCCCATCAGGTTTCGGCTAAGTATCAGCTCTGCCCACCTCCCCTTCCCTCACACTCTCACTCAGGTTTTAGGACCCTGGCAAATGTCACTTCCTCTAGGAAGCCTTCCTGGATACCCTCTCTCCTGGGCCCACCACACCTTGCCCCACCCCTCAGCCCCCTCCTGTGGTAGAGGGATCCTATGCTGTTGCCTCTCTGGGGTCAGACACCAGCCTTACTGATACCTGGACTCTGGGGGCCCTAGCGGAGCATCTAGCCCATGGTCTGGGTGCTCACTAGAGTGTGGGAGATGAATGTCGGAGTGAAAGAACTCAGGGGCATAAGGAAGGAAGCTCACAATGCACCCCGAGAGCCACTGTAACACGAGCTGAGGCCCAGTCCTACCTGTGGAAGGTCCCCAGAAGCACCCTGTGCCTTGGTGGTCTCATCTCCACATCCCTCAAAATCTTCAGAATAGTCCAGAGGAGGCTCGATGTGGAGCCTCGGGCCAGCTTCCGTTCTGATCTGCACTGATTTCTAGACAAAAGAAGGCTGTTTCAGACACAATGGAACGAGCATCTCGATTCCTCTGAGGGGTGAGCTTTAGGGGACTGACTGCGAGGTGGCATGTCCCTGTCCCCCAGCAGTCACGCTACGAGGCACGCTGGCCGGCATCGGTTCGGGAAGGGCCAGCCCGATGGGTCCCGCCGCTCTGCTAAAAAGTCTTTACTGGTTCCTACTGCACAAAGCACGTTCAGTGGAATTTTCTTAAAGCAACTTTTTGGGTTGAAATACCTTAGCAGTAGAACGTTAGTGGGTGATAAACTTCCCCAAATTGGCTTTGTGATCCAATGAGTTTAGGAGACCCTGGGGGTCCTTTTTTCCTCAGGACTTCTCAGGGCTGGGGCCAGAGGGGCATAAGCGAGGCACCACATTTAAGAGGGAGCACAAATCCAAGAGCGAGGGCCTCCTTAAAGTTTCTGCTCTGGGCCTCACTCTAGGGAGGCCCGGCTCCCGAGAGAAGGAAGAGGTCAGCCAAGCCATGTGTACTGAATGCATTACCCCTCCCAGGGACAGAGATTTAGACCCTGCCTTTCTCCTCATGTCCTGGGTTAGAACCCTCCACCCCTGTAAGACTCTGCGTCCCCACAAGCTTGGTGAACTTAGTGGTTATCTCGATGATGAAGGACACGATGCCGAACCGTACTGCCCTGCAGGCCTCTCCCTGGTTAGGACTGAACACCTTTCTCCTCCACAGTCACACCCGCCCCTCCCCCCATCAGCGCTTTCACACTAGTGTTACTCCTAGTGCTTTAGATGCTCACTTAGTCCTATAGCAACCCGAGGGGGAAACCGAGGCACCAGGCTCCATGCCTCTGGCCCAAGATCACACAACTAGGAAGCCGCAGAGCTTAGATCTGAACCCCAGCAGGATAGCTCCAGAGGCCTTGCTCTAAACCAGGGATGGGTCAACATTTCCCGTAAAAAGGAAGTATTTTCGGTTTTGCCAGCCATATGGTCTCCATCACAGTATTGAACTATCCCATTGTAGCTCAAAAGCAGCCACAGATATTGCCTAAGTAAACGGGTATGGCTGGGTCCCCAAAACACTTTATTTACAAGAACAGGCTGTGGCCAGATTCGACCCAAGAGATGGAGTTTGCCCACCGACCCTGGTACTAAACTGCCCCACTGTACTGCCCCCAATGGGCATGTGAAGAAGAAATGTGCTCAGCCTCAGCTACCGTGGCCTTTGGGGAGAAGAGAAGGAAATTAAGGAATTTCCTGAGAATATCAAACACTCAAAAAAGTAGGCAGGACCATGGCTATAGATCATTCGAGAAAAAGATCTTGGCAAGAAAGAGTAAAGAAAAAGAGAGGCTGGAAAAGGCAGGTAGGGAGCCCCCTGTCGGAGAACAGGGAGGAGACAGAGGGGCAGAAGGAAGGTGCTTGGGACATTTTTCTTCCTTTCTTTTCTTTTTTTTTTTTTTTTAAAGATTTTATTTATTTATTTGACAGAGAGACACACAGCGAGAGAGGGAACACAAGCAGGGGGAGTGGGAGAGGGAGAAGCAGGCTCCCCACTGAGCAGGGAGCCCGATGCGGGTATCGATCCCAGGACCCTGAGATCATGACCTGAGCCGAAGGCAGACGCTCAACAAGTGAGCCACCCAGGCGCCCCACATTTTTCCTTCCCTAGGGCCATCCGTCACTTGGCCAAGCCCCCCAAGCTCTGACTCCAAGTGTGGCCTCGCTGTCACCCAGGCTGTCAGCTTGCTCTCAGAGCATTTCGGAGGGTAGCTGCAGGATGTATGGAGGGGAAGCAGTACACGGAATAGGCCAGGAGATTCCTGAGAGTTTCCTTGCCCTGGGCTGGGATGAAGCTGTAAGGGCTTTGAAGTTCATCTCCAAGATAGATTCTTCTACCATAACCCTGGCGAGGGCGGGCTCCCCCTTCCTCCTCAGGAACCATTTAATAGCGCCCAAATGCTGAAATGAGAGAGACAGAGAGACAGAGAGAGACAGACAGAGAGACAAAGGAGGAAGGGCCGGAAAGAGGGCGAGGGGGAGGGAGAGAGAAGGGGGAAGAGGCAGGGGCACGGAGGGAGGGGCACCGGGCATGGGGCACAGCCTGGCCCCTCCACAGTTCTCTGTTCCTTTAGCTAGAAAGGGAAGGCTTGGACTAGGACCTCACTACTGCACGTACAGCCGGTCCGTGCACCAGAAGCCTCGGCTTCTCCCGGGGAATTTGTGAGAAATGCTGAATTTCAAGCCCCGTCTTAGAGCTAGGAATCAGAATCTGCATTTTCACAAGAGTTCTGGTGACTTACACGCACACTGAAGTTTGAGTAGCATGAGCCTAAGTTTTGTAGTGGGTGCTGCTGTTTCCACCTGTCCCCCATGTGCCCCCCTGTCTGGGCAAAAGCACCCTGATTTTTGGGGGGGAAATCCTCTCCCTCCCTCCCCACCCCCAATCCAAGTGTTCATGTGGAACTGAGTCCATGGGTGGCTGGAGCATATGACAGGCCCAGCCGAACTGAGCGCTAGATCCTGCGGGCCCGGTGTGACTAGGTGACTGGTTCAGGGAAGCCAAAGAGATGCAATAGCAGGCTGACAGAATGTAAGGTGGGAGCTGATGGTGGCCACCTTGGTACCACGCAGAGCAGCATGGGGAAAAGCAGAGTTGAGAGATGGAGAATGAACCCGCCTACACTGTCTGAGGTCCTGGATCCAGCCATGCCTGAATTAGACATTCCCACGGGCAAGTGAAAGAGCTGGCATTAATGCAGCTCTGTGGGTCTGATCTGAATGATAAATACGAGAAAGACCTCCAGGGTTCAAGGAGGAGAGCCCAGGTATGTCTCTGTCCACTGCTGCTTTCCCAACCTCCCCAACCCCAGAAGTGTCCCTCGCCCTTCCTGGGAGTTTGGCACAACTGCTCGCCTTGCCCAAAGGTCAGGAGATGGGTTTGCAGTAGGCATGAAGGCATGTAATCAGCAAGTCCTTTCTGAATCCTGACTGCATACAAGGTTCTGGAAGCATGTCAAGACAGCAAAAAATGTAACCACCCATGGCCTGGCCTTGGGGAGTTCATACAGCACACACAACAGAAGAACATGTTTAGGAAGCAACATTTGACAAAATTAACGTGGTCCAGAAAGAGTTTTAAATGCTGAGTGGGTGCTGGAGAGGGGAATAAATAGTCTTCCATCTGGCCTGCTCTCCCACCCCAGCCCCAGGGAGGTGCCTCTGCCACCACTGGAGGAGATGGGAAGCTGCCTCACCCACATGAAGACGCCCACCTCCCAATAGGAGCACGAGGCTGGCAGGTTCCAGCCCAGCCCCCAGGAGGCGCCCGCTCCCTGCCTCCCACCTTCACATGCTTGCAAGGATGATGCCCGAGCTCCTGGCTGGCTCCCCGCCTGGCACGCTGCTTTACCCGGAGTGGGTGTTTGTAAGTGCCTGCTCTCTCCTGCCTACTTGCAGCACCCAGACTGGATAGACCCCTGCAGTATCACCCACATACCAGGACAGGATTTAAAAGCCCTGATCCCCAAACACCCATGTTCCAGTTTGCTGGCCCTCGGCCAGCTTTTGTCCTCAGCCACACTCAGCCCAAGGCCATGCCCAGAGTTATCTGTGTGTATTTGCCGCCCCCTTAGCAAAGTGTTCTAAGAGATGTGCGTTCAAACTACTGTAGACTAGAAAGATCAAGGCTAGGGGTTGCCCTGTATGGTTGTTCAGGTTGTGCAGTACGTTAAGTAGCTCCCTCTAGAAGTAAGAGAGCTCTGAAGATACTGACAGGCCCGTTTGGGGTGGGGAGTAAATCTACCTTATTTGATATGTTCTTCCCGGATTTGTCTGATCTCTTATAAATAATAGCGCTCAACATTCTGACAGTCTGCGTCATGCAAGGTTGCTGTAAAAGCCGATGCTTTATGGGTTGTTTCATTCATTGTCCTCACGGCAGGGGTTTTCAAAACTCAGAAATAGGAAAACAAAGGAAAGGGCTTCACATTTGTACTCGTGAACTTTCCTGGGGGTGCTTCAGCTGCCTGGCCCACAACAGGAAACCAGATACAGCAGTAGAGCGAAAGCAAAGCCTTTGCTTTAAATTGCAATGAACTTGCTTTCTGGGCCTTTAAGGAAAGCCCACCCCACAGTAAATTGCTGAAAGGCCAATCCCTTCACTACCAATTTAATGCTAAGAGCCGATGACGTTCATCAAATCTGACAGCATTTTGGTAAACGACGGCTCTGTTGATTAGGCCGCTGTCCACCCAAGTATTACAAGGCTGAGGAAGCCATAAATCTTAATCCACTGATAGCAGGAGAAAGATTTGAGGCTGAGAAGTGGTGGGGGATAAAGGACAGTACCAACAAGAGCCCATTTATCACCTCCAGCCCAGTCCATGGTGCAGGCAACAGCTCGAAAGCCAACACTGAGCCACCATCCACCTTCTTGGCTCTCCCACAGTTGGAGAGTCCCAAGAAGGGTTTTCCAGGTCAGGCTCTGGGCCAGCATTTGGATGACTCTGTGACCTTCTGGAGCAGGGATCCTTGGGCCCACGTGCCTGGGGCAGCCCCTTCTGTCAGGGGCATCTCTACCGGAAAGTGCTTCCTAGTTGCTGGGCAAGACCCTAAGAGGGGAACTTATTCTACTGGAAGAGGCAAAGGTATTTGTCCTGGTCACTGGGAAGGGGACATGTAACCCAGCGGAGTTTAGGGCAACACTCAGGAAAACTGGCAAGCCGGCCCGCTGAAGAGTGCAGGGAGGCCACGGCGAGGGAGCACTGCTGGCCAGGGGTGGGCTGGGACTTCGGGGCTCCCTGGGCACTGTGACCTCTATGTCCCCTGCTGACTCAGCTGTGGTCAGTACCAAAACACCAAGTGCCTCTGTGGCCCCCACCTGTTCCTCCTGCTGGGCACAGCCATACAAGAGCAACCCCGGGCCTGGGACCGGGCGGTGGGACCTCTCCTGATGGAGTGGCTTTTGAGAACTGGCCACCACTGGCCACTGGGGATTCTGCCGCCTTGACCACTGCCTACCTCTGGCTCCCTCCAAGGACAGTGGAGCCCACCCAAAAGGGTGAGGTCGAGATGGCCTTCCTTCCTATCCTATGCACCCCAAAGCCTGTCCCTGGGTACTTTCTACTGGGGAGAAACTTCGTACTTAGCTTCACTTGTTGGGGTCAAAGGAAACCCAATCAGTCCCTCTTCCTCCTGGCAACAGTGCAGTCGGTACATCGGGTCTATCTACTGTCCTGGACAAGAAGCTGGGGTTCCAGGCCCTGCTCGGGGAACAGCTCCGGGGCAGGCAGGCTTTTCGCTTCTGGTCACAGCCTAGCAAGGCGGGAGTGGGCATCTGGTCCAGGCTGACCAACTGAGAAATTCAGATGGTCTCTCTCCTGGACAGTTTCCACAAACGACTACTGAAACACTGGGGAGATGACACCACGGGATGGGTCGAGAAAGCTGACATGATCAGGGGGCTCTGGGGGCCAGGGACAGAGCTGTGAGGTGGAGGCTGGGGGACAAAGAGACACAGGATGCATTAGACTCACGGCGGGGGGAGGGGGAGCCCTGCTTCAAAGTCTCCTGCCTGGTCCTCCTGCAGCCACTTGGCCCTATGGGCATCCTTTGGCATGCGGCCGCCAGGGATCTTCCTAAAACGTGAGCCCAAACACGTAACTCTCCTATTGAAAACCCTCCAGAAGGTTCCTCACATTTAAAATGAAATCCAAACTTCTTGCTGGGGGCTTCCAGGCAGTGCGTGATCTGCCCCCTCTGACCTGTGGTCCCTGAACCCCGCACTCACCCTCTCCGTCCCTGCACACTGGCCACCCCAGGGTCCCTTCAGCCTGACCCAGCCTCCTGCCGCCCCCGCCATGCCCTCTGCTGGGAGACTCCCGCCAGACCTTTGTGGGGCTGGCTCTGCTCTTCCCCAGTGGACAGGTCAGGCTCCACGGTCCTCGTTAACTGCCCCACCGGGCAGGTGCCACTGCTAACCCCACTGGCAGATGAGGAAGCAGCCACCAGACGCTGAGCCGCTTCTCCCGGCCGTGCTACTGGATAGTGGTGGAGCCCAGGCTTGGATCCGTGGCCGCTGGGTTCCTGAGTCAGTGCCCTCACTCATCTCTCTGGACTTGTCTGTCCCCTGCCGCCAGGTGCCCCTCCCCAAAGCAGCGGACAGCCCCTGCTGACGGACCGCCCGTGACACACAGCGAGCACGCACTCCCTCCTGGCAGCCCTGGGAGGTCTGACTGATGATGGATGCAAGGCTCAGACAGGTCTCACCGCCAGCTCCAGGGCACACAGCTAGGAAGTAGCTTGTCTGACTCCAAAGCCCATTCCTGTCTTTCCAGGGGCCACAGGTTCAAAGGCCCCAGTGGGCCAGGCGGGAAACGGAGAGGTGGGAAGCCAGCAGGTGGGAGGGAAAGAGCAGCCCAAGCACAATGACAGCCTACAGCCGCCACTCGGCCTTAGCTCGGGGGCTCTAAAGGGAGTGGTGTGGACTGCGGCAAACGGGAGCGTGTGTACCTGGCCTGATGGGGCCGCACTCTGCGAATGGCTGCCTCTCGGGGAGGCAAAGCCCAGCAGGATGGCCAGCTCTTTCCATTTTACCAGGGAAGTCAGAATCGAGCGTTTTAAAAATACAGAAAAACTTTTGAATTTAAATGTTAGCGAGTGACTAAGTCTTTTTTAAACTGTATGAGTCCAAAAAACATTCTCTGGGGGACAAGTTCAGCCCACAGGCCTCAAGCTGCTCACTCGGAAGTCCGGCAGGCCAGTCCTCCGTACACTTGGACGGGTTGTCACATCTTCCTTGCGGGCGGGACAGTCCCCCCCCACCCCCCCCGCCCCGTCTTCACAGCCGGGGCTCCAAGGGCAGGAACCGAGCCTTATGTGATTGTTTGCTTCTAACCCCAGAGCCTCACATAGTGCCTGGCCCGGGGTAATAAATGCTTGCTAAATTAAAATTAAAGGATGATTTCTTTTGGGACATGGCTTCTAGTCCTCTCACACTACTGAATGCTCCCTGGTTTATCCATATCGAGAGGGTGTGGTCCCCAAAACATGGCATGTGGGTGGAGCAGAGTCCGTGCAGCAGTGGGGTGGGGGCTGACCCCCCAGAACCCCTTCTACTTTATTCCTAGGATGACTTTGTGTTCAGTAGAGGCCAGAAAGCCAGTCTGTGTTTCCCAGATGCCCTTGCTGTGGACGTTCTAGAAATGAGCTAGCTACAGCCCATCAGATGGCCTCCTACAAGCAGGGAGAGCAGAAGTGAGGTGGAAAGAAGACACACGGTGGCTGATTCTGTGCTGAGCACAGTGGCTGAGGCGATGGGTTTTCAAGTGTCCCAGCCCGGCCGGACAGGCTATGGGCAGTGCTGCTCTAGCAGGCACGGTGTCATCAGAGGCCAACGGTTGTGGCAGTGGCCACCTGCTTCCTGGATGATCCCTGATGCCAACCTTCCACCCTCCCCACCGTGTCCTAGGTAGCAGATTTCCTGGCAGGCTGTGCTGGAAGGCTGGGTGCCATTCCTGGAGGACCCCGGCTCAGAACCCCTCCTCTTTTGCCTCCCGGAGATCTCGCAAGCACCCACTTCCCTGCGTTCTGTTCATCTCTGATTAAAACAACCTGAGTGGTCTCTACTGTTAGGCACTGACTGACCCCTGACTGATACAGTGCATAAGGACAATTACAGCCTTCATGGCATCAGGAAGCCAGGAAATTAGCCATGATTAGGCCCTGTGAAGTGTGGGACCGCAGGGAGAGGCTGGGGAGGGATGCTAATTAATCTTAGGCCAAGTCTTTTAAATTGCACAGGCTCTGGGGCCAGCCGTGAAGTCACAGTCTAAGATGCAAATATGGCTCCTGATAATAGAAGGCACTCGAAACAACTAGGAGGGTCTGAAGTGGGAAGTGGAGAAAGGACTCCTTAATGAGAAATTAACATTCATTGCTGGGGACAAAAGGAGGCCTCTAGGCCTTGCTCAGCTGCACTAAGATAAGGCTGTGGGAGTCAGCTAGCTGGCCAGGAACACCCTCAGTACTTCATCACAGACCCATAACGGTAGGGAATACCAATGGGTTTGGGGGTCACAGGTCCAGGGTTCAAACCTCCCTAGTAGCTCTGTGACTCTGAGAAAGTCAGCTTATCTCTCTCGGCCTCAGTTTCATCAAAGGTACAATGAGGACAGTAATAGACCTACAGGGTTATTGCAAAGACGGCCAATAAAGCTTATGGAAATACTTCCTACAGACCCACACATATGGCACAGGGCAAAAAATCAATCCAAATCTGGGTGACCACAGGATTAAAAAGGATTACACACCATTGCTTAAGCCTCATTTCAGACTGAGTCAGAATCTCTGGGGGTGGGGCTCCCCAGGCGATGGGAATGCGCTGTGGGGGTTGAGACCCACTGATCCCAGGCAAGGTGTGAGTAACCGCAAGGTAAGGACTATACGGGCAAGAATACGGCACTTGGAGCAAAGATCTGGGCTTGAGTCCTGCTGCTGTCACTTCTTAGTGGTTGGCCTCGGAGAGCTCACTTGGCTTTTCTGAGCATTCATCTCCTTGGCTTCTTTAAAAAAGGAAGAAATTTAGAACTTGTCCTAGAGGTCTGCTGTGAGGACAGAGGAGAGGAGTCATGTGGGAACTCAGCCCACATCTTGTACCTGGTTGGCACTCAAAAACACAAGCTGCTGAAGCACCCTGAAGTGGCATCTCAGGTCTGTGGGGCGGGGGCTTGGTCTCATTCACCCACTGCATCCCTGGCATCGAAGAACGTGCCTGGCACATAGTAGGTGCTCAGTAAAAGACAGCTGTATAAATGAGTCATCACCACGGGGCTGTGAGTCTGTGCTGGGGTGGCCCCATTCCCCATCTGGAGGGGAGGATCATGCCACACAGAGGGGGCAGGAGGTCCCCAGACTCCTCTACTTTCCAGGGGCCAATACTACATGCAGAGAGGACATCATGTGGTGCCCAGCCAGACCCACCACTGCCCACAGGGATTCCCAGTGCTCAGATTACGTTTCTGTTTCCACAAGAACCCTGCTCCTTGTTCTGAAGCACGAGATAGGGCCGTGTGTCTCTACACCGCCTAGGGTTTCCAGACCTGGTGCCATCCTCGGCGCTGGACTTTGCTGGGGGCTGTCCGTGAACTGCGTCTTAAAGCTTCCTCTGCTTCTCGCAATAGGGTTCTCCGTCTGTAATCTGCACCAGGGATGAGGGAAAGAGACTCAGTGAGGCACCCGTGACAAGTTCACACCCAAGGAAGATGCATGACTTCCATCTAAAATGCACAAAAGTCTCGTATGCAAAGTGAGTCCTGGTTGTAGCAGCAAGGCATTAGAAAACAGGCCAAATGCCCAGGAGAAAGGGAAGGGGGAGGAGTAAGTCACAGCTGAATCGGCCAGGTCTATATACAAAAGGAACAGTCTCTGAGATAGGGAAGCAGGGTATACACCGTGTGTGCTACAGGCCATCATTTGTGTAAAAGAAGACAGAAGGGAGGGTTATTTGTTGAATGAGTTAAGGTACTGCTGGGGGCCCAAGTACAGAGACTCCTGCTAACTGCACCTCCTTGAAACCTGGACCAGGAAAGGCCTGCTTGTCCCAACTAGCAGCAGGTTGGCCCGACTCCTCCCCCCCACCCCCGCCCCAGAGAGCTAAGAGAATCATCCCACTTCCCTTGTTGCCCTGGAGGGCTAGGAAGCTCATGCTGAACTCTAAGCTGGACAGCAGTGACTCTCCTAGGAGAAGGTTTGGGGACATCACTTTCTCCTTTTATCTCCTCGTTTTGAGTTTTGCTGTCTATTATGGCTTGGGATATTTCCCATACCTATAAGGCAATGAATCAGAACAACACGAATCAAGATTATTGTGCGATGGGCCTTTTACATTTCTTATGTCATTTAATCTTCCTGGCAAGCCAGCAAGGTGGGCTTAATTATTCCCATCTCATAGAAGAGGAAACTGAGGGTCAGAGAGGACCCGATTGCCAGAGGTCTCAAAGCTAGAGAGAGGCAGAAACCCAGCTCTGCCTCATTCCAAATGCTCTTCCTGCCACTCGGTAGCAGGCCGGGTCCTCAGACAAAGCAGCCTGCCTTCAAGGGCACTCTGGTGCCCTAGGGATGGGTGCCCTTGTCAGTCCCATTTGACAGATGAGGAAACAAAGGCCCGGAGAGACAAAGTAACATGGCCAAATTGGGACCCGACCCCATGTGCTTGGCCATTTCATTCACTTTCCCGCCAGGTCGTTTTTGGAGCCAGCCACTGGGTGGGGTACTTCTACTCCAACTTCACAGACTCTCTGAGCTTTTAGTATAGGACACATGGGACCGGTTTAAAGTCTGTGAAGTATGGATTAACTACATTCAGACATGAACTGTGGAGTCAAATATCACATGGGGTTGGGTACTAAAGTGAAGATAGATCCAGTGAAAATCAGGTATAATTTAAATTATTCTAGACGTTTCCTTCAATTACTGGCACCGTGAAATGGAAAAGCCAGGAATTTACTGCTCTGGCCACCTTTGCCCTGGGGTAATGGAGGCCAAGGCTAAGTTTTAAAAGGGATAAAAAGGGATTTCTCTCTCTTTCTCACACTCCTGCTCTCTCTCTTTTTTTTTTTAGAGAGAAAGAAAGAAAGCACACGTGCATGCCAGCAGCAGAAGGGCAGAGGGAGAGAATCTCAAGCAGGCTCCTCATCCAGTGCAGAGCCCAACACAGGGCTCGATCTCACGACCCTGAGACCATGACCTGAGCTGAAATCCTGAGTCGGCTGCTTAACCCACTGAGCCACCCAGATGCCCCCTGCTCTCTGGCAAAGTGGGTAGAGTTAATTTGAACAGGTTAACTAGTTATTTGCTGGTAAGTTTCGGGGCATGGGATGTAGCTCCACTGGGCCCAGGTGACCCGTGCTCACCGTGTGTCCCCTCGGCGTGTGAGGCACTCCTGGTGAAGTCGGAGTGGACAGCTTTCCAGGAAGACGTCTTCAGCTCCGAATTGGCCCCGTTGACGTAGACAGAGAAGCCCTGCTCCAAGTGCTCCAGTCTCAATTGCATGGGGTCCTTGGTTTTCAGATGCTTTAATATCCTGGAAGAGAAACCATCACTTGCTCCTTGTTATGGGAGCCTGGGCCGCCGCCCACCTCCATGTGGGGAGAGAACGGGCAAAGCGTCTCTAATCAGAGGCTGGGTGGCGGGTGCCCAGCTGTTCATCGACAAACGGCCTGTAAGAGGCCCATTACACACACGGAGAAGCAGCAAGGGGGAGACTGTTTCGGGCCCTGCAGGGGTGTTTCTGCTTTCGTTCTGAGGCTCAAACGCACATTAGTGACAACGCAGGCGCACGTCATTCCTCGCCCTGCGGTGGCCCGAGACAGAAAGCAGGCGTGTGTGAGCGCAGTCACCACACAGCCTGGGCTTCCTGGGATTACCCCAATTTCATGCATCTCCACCTTGTGTGGATAATGGCACCTTCTCCAGGGCACAACAAAACATGGGTCTAAGGGTCTTAGGTTCTAAGCCTTTGCAAGAGATTTCAGAGAACATCTACAAATCAGAAAACATCCTTCATCTGACCAGGCTGACTGACTTTCTGCTTCAGTAAATAAACATGTTCTCAAAAGCTCACCCCTGATATCTCAAATGTCATCAGTTTATATTCTGATGCAGTGAAAGCATATATCAAAGCAGGCTTTAATTCAAGATTAATGATATGATTATCACCTTTTGGCTACAAGGGTCTTGCCGTGAACATGGCTGGACCTCTAGTTCAAGTTTTCTCGAAAACCCAACCTCACACCTCAGGCTCAATCCTTTCCCAACTCCTGATACTGTCAGTGCCATAACAGCGTGCAGCATCCTCACCAGCCCCAACAGAACCACTCCCATTGGACGCCAAATCCTTGTGTCTCTACAACCACCTTTGTGCACCCCGCATCAACTAGCTTTATTTCCGCACAAGAAGAAATACAGACAACCAACCCGCATGGCAACCAGGGTGCATCCCTTTTAAATAAGTTCCTGCCAAACTAGCAAAATGCAAATTTTAAAAAATAATAGAAACAGTAATCATGTAAAGGGTGTGTATGAGGTGCCAGACTGTTCTACCTGCAGTACAGATACGGTAGTTGGTTCTTGTTATTGGCGGTAGTTTTATTTTATGAAGTCACCACAAAACATTGAGTTAGTGAATACTGAAACTTTGTTCCTAGGGGAAAACACAGGATTTGGTTCCTGTGAGCCTCATAACATTTTCACCAAATGATCAATATAGAACCCTGCTGTGTGTATGTTTCTGTTTAAAGGTACCTTATTTGATACATAGTTGAGACACTGACAAGGAACTCACACACCAGCAGCTCTGTAACTCAGGCCTGAGGGAAGCTCATCTAACACATGTTTTTTCTCCCTTAGACATCATAGCCTTTGTACATTTAGGAACACTAGACAGCACTTCAGCACCATGCCTGGGGGCCAGTTTAAACAGCAAAATCACCAACAAAAAGCATAAAAATGTGGAAGACATGGCACTCGGTATACTTATGGGGTAAGAGCTAAAATAAGAAGGTGGAGTATTCCCTTGTTCTACCACAGCTAGGAACATGTGTATCGGGCAACCAAAATTTTTTGCCACTCTGCACTTGTCTTTGAATGACCACAAAAGTACTGCAAATATTTAAAATTTACGAATAAATTTTCATGAGTAGGTGAATTCATATTTAAGGAACCCGTGAATAATAAGGATTGACTATATTAAGACATTAATCTTCCCTAACAACCCTATGAGGTAATTACTTTTATCATCCCCATGTAATAGATAAGGAGAGACACAGAGAGGGTAAGTAACTGGCCCAAGGTCACACAGCTGGTATGGTGGGTAGTACGGCTAGGGTGCAAACTTAAGCAGTCTGGCTCGAGTCTTCACCACAACAAAGACAATCTCTACAGCTAAGCGAGAGGACACTGAACCTGGCCAACTTAGACATTGCTGGTAACTCACAGAACCTTTTCAGAAGTACTATGAAAATAGAGAAAATGCCATATGCTTGGTCTTCCCCTTAGTGAGCCCATTCTGGCAAATCACTCTTGACCAGGAACAATGGTCAGTGTTTGGTCATAACAAAACCCTGAAAGCAACCCAAAAGTCCAACCCCAGGGAATGGAACCTGGCATCCCACGCAGCTGAGATCATTATGAAGTCTGTCCAAACGTGAGGAATTGCTTGTGATTGGGGTGGGGTGGGGGGAGAAGCAGAATAACAACGGGATGTGTGTGGTTAAGTGCAAAGTTGGAAAAAGGTGTGTTTGTGGACGCGGCGTGGAAGGTGATACACGTGAAAATCCAATCATGTTGAGGAAGGAGGGTGGCATTACAGGTGATTTCTTTGTTTGGTTTTTAAATGTTTCTTTAGCTGTTGCTACATCCATCTTTTCAACAATCATGGCAGGAACATTTATTATAGACTTCTTATCTCTGACCGGCCTTGGAAGCCTGGGAGTTGATCGTTGGGCGGGCAACAGTATAAAACAGAAGGAAAACACAAGTCACTAAGAGACGCTTTCCAAACACAGCCATCCTTGTACTCTCTGGAGCCAACCACCAAAGGCTGCAGTGGGCAGCAGCAGGCCCTGGGGAGAGAGCGCAGGGAGCCTGGGCCCTGGGAGGGGCCCTGAGAGTGGAAAGTCTGACCGCCCAGCCACAGGGTGCCTGCCTCTACCTCCCTCCGGAGGCCGTCCCGTCTCCTGACACTGCCTGGGTGCTGACGGTGATGTCCTGCTCGCTACGCGGGATGGGGGCTGGTACTCCGTGTGTGCTTCTTTTTAAGCAGAATGATTGATGAAAATGTGGATTTATGGAACTGATAAATGAGGAGATAATTATCCAGACTGTGAAAGGGATCGCTGAAGGAACTCCCCGTCTGCAGATGAGCCCACAGTGATACTCACTACACACGTGGCATCAAAGAAAAGTGGTGTCTTTTTTTTTTTAATTGATAGCCTGCTTTGCATAAAAAGCGGGCCCTCGGTGTAGGGGATTCAGAAAACTCAGACACGGTCCCTGCCCTGTGCAAGATGGAGCCCCTGCTCACCTGCTGCCCCATCACACCCCTATTCTGGGTTTTGCTGGCTTCAGAGCAGGGGGCTCATGCCTCACACTACAGGAGACTCTCCGTGTGTCTGCCTATTCTTCCCTCCTACCGCAGGCATCGGACCCCTGGATATGGGGTCTGTGCTGAGTGTGAGGAATGCTCTCCATACCTGTTTCTGGAACAAGTGGCTCTAAGGCACTTTAGGTCTAGCAGGGGAGAGAAGACATGGATGCGCATCCTTACACAGCTCCCGTGGACCCCATGCTCATTACTGGAGCCTTTCTCTCTGAGCCTGTAGCGACCTGTGGGGCCACTTGTACACAGCTCTTTGGACAGAGAGGAAGTGGGAGTGTGACAGGGGGACGTGACTGGGGGGTCAGGGCATGAGCAGGGGCCCTGCTGGCGAGAGGGCGCAGCCAAGCATGAGGGGTGGTGGCAGGTCGTTCCTGAGCGTGGCCATGCCTGAGTTGATGGCTGAACCACCTTGGCCTCAGAGCTCTGTGGCTGCGATGACCAGGCTAGGTGGCCCCTCGGACCTCAGTCACCCCAGAGGCCAACCGAGGGCTTCTCCAGGGGTCAAGCATTCAAGGAATACCTAGATGTCAGCTCAGGGCGGAGGCGTGAGCTAAATATTAATTTAGCATTAATATGGTGATGATGGTGGTGATGAAGATGACACCTGGGTGTTGTCTCTCTTACTCCCTCACTGGTCCTACCATTGGCCTGTTTTACAGATGAACTTGCCCAAGGTCACAGAGCCCAGGAAGCAGCCAAGATTTAAATTCTAGTCCTCGAGGCTCCAGAGCCCATCTCCCAGCCACACCATTCTGCTGTTTCTTGTCTCCTCACCGCTTATCACGCCACAGGGCCTCTGAGCAAGGGGAGTCCAGATGAGGAGCAGTGACTCCCAGCTAAGGGCATCCTGGAGGTGGTGGCATTTGAGACCAGCCTTGAAGGATAGAGAGGTGAAGGGCAGTGGTGCAGACAGCCTGCTGTTCCTCCCAGAATGTCAGTGCTCACGGGCTCTGGGAATCGCCCTTTAGGATGTCAGCATCCCCGATCCATACGGGTAGATATTGCACAGTGTGGGGGGACGAAGCCTTGCACGGGAGGCTCTCCCATTTCCTTAGGTTGTGTGACCTTGGGCAAGTCCCGACTCCCCCTGGCCTGTTCCTCTTCTGTAAAATGAGATCAAGAGTGCCTCGGCCTCTTTGGGGTGTCATGAGGATGGAATGGGGTACTGGGCTAAAGCTCCAGCTCAGAGACTGGCCCATGCCAATGCCCCCCTGGGTGCTGGTTCTCCCCTTCCTTCTCTGCCTGAATTTCCTTTTGGGGCAGTGGGTTCACTTCTCTCATGGGCATTTTTTTCCTATACGTTTCCCTCAAACCACCTTTTCCAAAAAAGAAATAATACTGGACTCCTGGATCCAGTCCAGCCTCCAGCATCTAAAGGGATGTATTACAGCCCCTCTCGGCCATCAGCCCTCCAGTACTTGGCCCAGTCTGGTTGATCTGTTGTTGAGTGAATCCGTCGGGCGTGATTACATCTCTCATGAAGGTGAGTGACCAGAATCACTAAGGATCCTCCGGGGGGGGGCTGTGCAGGGGTGACTCGGGGCTGTCACATCCTCCTCTACCTCCCCTGGTCCTCTCCTGGAGCACATGATCATGTTCTGCTTCTTCGGGTGTAGTTATAAATAGGTGGCCTTGTGCTCACCTGCTGCTGCCTAGGGAGTTCCTCAAGGGCAAGGGCAGACACCTGTTCGTTTTGCCTCGCCAGCAACTCTCCCCCATCTTCCAAACTGAGCCTCTCGGATCCCCTTTCAGAACCACTCCATTCCTTCTCTTCTCCATATGGTTTGGGTGACACCCACTCCACCACCCAGCTTAAGGAGGTGGCTAAGGAGTGGCCCGTCAGACCAGGCCATCTCACCAGGCACAGGGGGGCGATTGGCTTGGGGTTGAGCCAGGGCCCACCTCAGAACCTTTGCCAGAACTATCAAGAAGGAAGTGCTCTCTCCTCCTCGAGGCAGGATGTAAGTGTGGGGCCACCGGTGACTGCCTTGGCCCCCTGTGAAGGAAGTACCGGCCTCAGGTGACTCCAACATGGAGTCAGAGCTGAGTACCTGGATACAACTATGCCTTGAAGCTGGTTTCTCACTTTCATGAGCCAATAAGTTTCCTTATTGTTTAAGGTCTATTTACCTTGGGCTCCTGTCGGTTAGACCCCAGGAGCACTAACTAACAAAGTCTGTGCCTTCCTCATCACGATGTTCTTCACACCAGTGGCAATGCTAAGCACTGAGAAGGCCCTCAGCAAAATCCTACTGAATGAGTAAAAGAATAACATCACGGGCATCTGTGGCGGTTACGTTCTGGGCAAGTCACTCCTGGGAACTGGTTCCAGTGATTGCACACACCCCCTTTCTCAGGTCACAGGGCAACCCGGATCAGTAGACTGGGTTTTCATTTCCCTCTCTGCACACTATACAGCCCAGAGGCTGGTTTTCTACCAGGTCATATAACTAGATTTCCAATAAACTGCGGTTTATTTCCACAAAACCCCTCATCATGAAAGTGGCAACTCTGGCGGGTTTCTCCCTGCCTGCCTATCTATGACAATGTCAAACCAAACAGCAATCAGAAAGTACAGCCCAGCTCCCCCACTTCCTGCCTGGATGATCTTGGACATACGGCTCACTGCTCTGGGTCTTCTTTGTCTGGGAAACGGGTGCAAGGAGTGTAGCTACCCCTCATCAGGTAGTGGGAGGATATAATGAAATGATGGGGGTGAGGCGCCTGGCATGCGGGAGGCACCCCAGAAAAGGTGCCTCTAAAGCAACACCCAGTGATAGCTTGGGGAGCCACCCATTTTTCATGTCTCTATCTCAGGTGTTTCCAGCTCTACCTTCTGAGCTCCTGTCATCACGCCAGCCCCCTCTCGGTGACAGCACATCCCCCAAATTTTATGGCAACTTGGCTCGGACATCTTTTTTAATTGCCTTTGTGCTACAACCTTGTCTCTGGATATTCTCCTCTATGCCACCGGCTGGTACCCCTTTGATTGTGCACTTATTGATCTGCTGATTAATGAGAAGCAATTTGCTCCTAAGGAACTATGACAGTGTCCTCCCAGACAAGTCACACGGATATGATTAAACGATCACTCAGGTGTTCGGTGGCACCATCCAGCCTGCCAGGAACGGAATAAAAACACCCTGCTCCATGGCATTAATGATGATAAAAACCCCTTTGGGCTAATCACCACGAGCTTCCCGCTCCCGCAGTTGGAGCCGCCCCTGGGCGGAGGAGACAAGCACAGGGTGGCCAGGCACAGAGGACACACAGCCTGCTGCTTCTAGCCGCTCCTAGAGTTTACCTGTTCAAGAGTTCGCCACTAGGGGTCGCGCTGCCTCAATGGGGGCATCTGGCAACGTGGGTGGGTGTTAGAGATCCTGGGTATCTTAGTAAAGGGGTCGGTGGGCAGGAATGCTGAACTCCTGTAACACCAAGGACTAAACCCATCCATGCAACATGCCAGCGGAGCCCCACTTGACAAGCACAGGGAGTCAGGCCAGTCAGATGAGGGCTGAATGCACATGCAGGATGACAACAACCCCTGCCCTCCCCGCCCCCCCCGCCCCAGCTCTCTTGCCTGCAAGACCCCAAACTCATTCCCATTAACCCCAAGGCCCAGATTAGGGCCCCATCCTCCCCGCTCCTGCAGGTCTTTTATAGGGGCCTGCAGCATTCTTCCCGTTGTTTTGAGTTTTAATCTGAGTGCATTACCAACATTTTAAAACTCTGGGGATTTCAAACCCAAATCCAGATTTCCAGCTTCTCCAGCAGCTTTGGATAGGGACCCCTGGGTCCAGGCTCCCACAAACAACAACTGGCCTGAGCTGACTGAGCAGCTGGGAAGTGAGAATCGCAAGTGCCCACCGTCTCCACCGAGCTGGCTTCACTCACTGCCCGGCCCCTCCTAGCATCTGAGTTTGCAAACCCAGCTTAACGCGCAACCCGAGGCTTGGTGATAAACCACAGTGAACTGAACGTGAAATTCCATGGGCCCCGGGAAGGCAGTGAAGAGGGGACGCCTCTTTCTAGCCAGACCACACTGCTTTGCCCTCGGTCACCAAACACAGCATCTACCATAGGATTTTTCTGAAGGTAGCACACCAGAGTCAAAATGAGTACCAACTTAACGTTAAATGACATATTGACCAACTTTAAACACAGATGGGAAACGACTCCACCTTGATCTAATGAGGCATGATTATAGGCTCAGATTTCACGGGCCCGTCAGAGCCTGGAAGATCACAGACAGGGCTATTCAGGTGACTAATGCACAGGACCTGCCACGTTAGAGCTTTTCCATGACAAAGCCACCTTCTCCCAGAATGGCAGCAGGGAGGCGAGAGGTGGTACTTACATGTGGAATGGTTTGCTACAGCTCAATCAAAGATGCAATTAAACCAGCAAGTGGAAAAACGGGAGCTGGGATTGCAGATAATATTCCGAGCCCCTGAGTGGAGGCTGCCTGCATCCCATTCCTATGTGAAACAGAGCCTGCATGCTGTTTAATAAATCGAAATAGGGTTTTTATTTGGCTAATATGAAGGGCTGCCGTTGAGCAGCTCATCTTACCGGTTCCTCTGCTGAAGCAATATTAAATACTCATCATGTTTCTCATCGAAGTCTGGCACCATGTCCTTAGTGTAACCCTGAAATGAAGAAAGAGAGCAGTATGATACAGGAATGTGGGGAATTATTTACGGAGGCAGGAGGCTGAGAGGCAGAGGCTGAACTTGACAAAGGCATCGCTCAGGTGACCCAGAGCCCCAGAGATGGCCTGATGGCCCCATGGGTATTGAGCATACACAATCAACATCTACAGAAAGGACAAGGCTGGTTTCCCGGTCTCGACACTGTTCGTTCTGCCCATGCCCTGTAAGATCAGGGGCTTGGGCCAAGATTTGAGCTTTAATGTTTTCTCCACACTCATTATTTAGTTATCTGAATGATCATAACCAGATGTAACCCAAATCAGTTGTTTAAGGAGGGATCTCATTTTTCTCTTGCCGTGGCAAGAGAAATGCATGCTTATTAGAACAGAGTCATTACAAAAATATATGACCCAGACAGTGAGGGCTCCTTTAAGAGCAGACACTTGTGGGCTTAGGCCTCCTCTTCAGGCAACAGAACTCTGGATTTCCTCTAGAGAATCATTCAGCCCCTGTTTTTTCAGTTCACTGGCTTCCTGAGAGGCCCTTGAAAGTTCCTTTGTTGGCCTTTTGGGTCACATGACCTTGGCCTTGCCCTTGCCAATCAACACAGTGCCTCCCCCAGCCACAGTGATTCACTGATCTGTGGATGAGCCCTCGGCCAAGCCAGGCCCTTGAAAGTCAGCCCTAGGACTGTGCTGATCCTCTTGGGGGAAGAGCCGCTCTCTTTCCACTGGGGGGCTAGGCTGATGAGACGCAGGCCTGGAACTGAGTGAGAATGAGGTCAATAACTGAGACAGCAGGTGCACTGAGAGATTGAGAGAGATCCTTAATGTCATGATTTGACACCCTGGATCCCCTTATGTCTGAAGAAGTATCTGGACAATTAAGTTCTTGCTTTAGAAGTTTCTGCTGAGTCTCTGTCATTTGCAGCCAAAAGAATTATGTCATATATACCATAATCTGATCATTAGAGATAACCCCTATTATAATTTTCTACAGCTTTATGGAGGGATAATTAATGTAGACTAAATTACACATATTTAAAGTGACATGTATATACCAGTGAAACCGCCATTGTAACTTGAAATATATTCTCCCAGATGTTTTCTTTATCATATACATACATATTTATAAATACACACACCAATACATTCTTTTTTTTTTTTTTTTTTTGAGGGGGCAGGGAAAGAGGGAGAAGAAGAGAGAATCTTAAGCAGGCTCCTCCACCCTGAGCATGGAGTCCGACATGGAGCTCAATCTCATGACCCTGAGATCATGACCTGAACCGAAATCAAGAGCTGGATGCTCAACCGACTGTGCCACCCAGGCGCCCCCACAGACATTCTTTTAAATAAACAATGCTTTGCAATTTTCTGTTTCTTAAATAACTTTTTTGCCAAGGGATGGATTAAAGAGACAATATAGGCTTGGTTCTGGTCACAAGTTACATGGATTAAGTTTTAAATGGCAAGTAAGACATTTGCAATAGAAATGCAATTTGGGTGAAAATCCTAACTGCTACCATGGGGAGAAGAGAAAAGAAAATCCCCATCATTCTCTTCTTCTCAAAATCTGGCTTTAACACCATTAGTCTACCACAACCCTAGCCACAGGTGACCCATAACCTCCTTAGCCAACTATAACAGCTCTTCCCGTGTTCATCCTTTCCAACTGCTCTGGGCTAACCTCCTCATTCGTCCCCAAATCCTCCTTCAGCTTCTGCAGTTGCTAATGGGTCTCTTTCCTCCTATGCCTTGTCTGGCTTCCTTTCCTCCTTGGCCTCAGTTGGGGATGGTCACTGTCTCTGTCCATTTCACCCTTTTGGGTCTCTCTCCCCATCTTCTCTTTCCAGTTACTAGGAAATGGGCCCTCTGGAAGGAAACCCAAGGTCGCTCCTGGTCCAGGGCTGACAGCCCAATCCCCTTTCTTGTCCCCTTTCCTGTAGGACTCCCGTTGTTGCTATCTGCTTCCTAGTCACCCCACTTCCCGCAACCCCCCCACAACATCCCCCTCTTTGGGCCCACTTGGGGACAGGATGAAGTACTCCCATCTTCTCTCCTGTCCTGGTGGCCCTGAAACCTTGGAGTTTTGCCGGGGTTTTCCTGCTAGCTCATCTGGCCCAACCATCAGGAAGTGGGGACTCCTAAGGAATGTAAGCAAACAAACTAGCTATAGCTGACCCTAATCTCTTACTTCCCTGGTTTCCTGAGCTGCCCAGAGAGGTGACTTTGTTCTCTCTGGGACTGAGCCCTGCCTCACCCTGAATGGGAGAAAAACCCATACAACCTCAGCCCTCCTGAGAGCTGCTTGCAGGACACTGGGTCTGGGGAGGATTTCAGTCCCTTCCAGAATGACGCATCTGATGTGGTGCATTTCCACATACATGATTCTCCTTTGATCTTCGCAAGAGCTCTTATCGTGGTTATTATTACCCCATTTAAGACACAAAGAAACCCATCTCATGCATCTTCCGGGAACAGGCATCCTACTCCACAGCAATTTACACAACCATTTTGAAATATCAGAATGACCACTGATATATTATGGTGTGGAATGGACATTCAGTGACATTTTTAGATGAAATACGAGACGACAGAGAGATCTCAGCTCGTGAGGGCTGCCCTGGGCTTGCATCTCAAACCCTCTGAGAATGCATTTATTTGCCTCTGCCAGGAGGGGGGATGTCATCACAAACAACTGAACAGCACAGGCACGCTTCCAGCCAAACTTCTCCCCAGCCCCGTGCTTTTCCATGCTTCTCATATGCTAACTAACATGCACATGGATCGCCTGGGACTGTGTCAAAGTGCAGGTGCCGGCTCAGTAGGATTGGGGAGGGAGGGGCCCACATCTGCATTTATTTATTTATTTATTTATTTGACAGAGAGAGACACAGCGAGAAAGGGAACACAAACAGGGGGAGTGGGAGAAGAAGCAGGCCTCCCTGAGGGCTGGATCCCAGGACCCTGGGATCACGACCCGAGCTGAAGTGGCTCAGTTGTTGGGCGTCTTATTTTTTTTAAAGATTATTTATTTGAGAGAGCGAGCATGAGCGCGGCCCAAGCAGGGGGGAGGGGCAGAGGGAGAGGAGAAGCAGGCTCCCCACTGAGCAGGACCCCACCCTGGGGATCATGACCTGAGCCTAAGGCAGGAGCTTAACTGACTTGAGCCACCTGGGCACCCCCCACATCTGCATTTCTAACAAGCTCCCAAGCAATGCTCCTGGGCCACACTTGGAGTAGCAAGTCCTGAGTCTAGACGACCTCTAATCAGACAGTCTCTGAAATTGAGCTGGGGAGAACATGAGTTTTGAGACCAGGCCTGGCTCCCAATAGCAACACTGGCATTAGTTTACTCCTCTGTTAAAATGGAAGTCATAACAGTACCTGTCTGGTTGGATTTTTCTTTCCCGCATAGGGTTAAATGCAGATTGGAAGCCGTAACAGTGGAAAGGACTTAGCACAGTACCCAGCACTTAGAAAGTTCTCAGTGACTATTAGGTACATTTATTTATATTTATAGAGTTCCATTATTTAAAGACCACTATCTTAGTTCCTCCCCACACATGCTCATTCCTACCCCACTGCCTTAATCATTCTACTCCCTTTTCCAGAAATCCACCCCATCCTCTCCAGCCTCCACCCAAATCTTCTCCAGGGCCCAGCTAAGTTCCCAAAGTCTCCACGAAGCCTTCCCTTGCCATTCACGCCCCACTCCCTTCAGCTCATTCTGAAACCCTGAAATTAGCATTAAATTATATACAATACAACGTGCAATAGTACATAATTAAGCGCTAAGTTGTTAGCATTTAACTATATATGGTGCTCACTAATTACCTGGGAATTTGGAGACTTGGGGGTGGACCCTGAGCTCCACTACCTTTGCTGAGCCTCAGTTGTTCTCATCTATAAGAGGGGGGTAATAAAAGGTGTACCTCACAGGGCAGCTCTAAGGCACAACTAGGAGAAAAGCAGAAGTGGCTTGGGATCATTTTCTTTCTTCTTACTGATTCCCCAGGTGGATCATAAATTCCCAGAGGGCACAACTATGGGAGGGGCAGGAGGAAGAGTCTCAGCCTCACCACTATCCAGCTGTAGGAAGGTAAGTGCTAAGGCTGGCTAAGCACCACCTCGGTTCAGCCTCGCTCCAGCCCTGGTCAGACGCCGGACACGGGCCCTCCCCAGCACTGCACACTTCACTTTGCTGAGGCTTTACGTGTCCGGCTAGCAGATGGAGGCATCTGCGTTGGAGGCACCCCGCGAAGGTGTGAGAAGCTTGTGAAGGGCCAACTTTATCTTCATTGTCTTGCAGCAAACATATATCAAGTGCTCAGCCTCGGACCCACTGTGTGTATGTGCCTACAAGCCGTACTCAACCACCTGTCAGGGGCTTGCTCCCCACGGTCCCCTTGTGCTTGGGATGAATGCTGTGCATCCAGTCAAGCAAACACGCGCTAGCCGAGGGTACCTAACATCGGGGATGGCCTGCAGGGGGTTCTAGGAACACCCATTCCATTGCATGCACAAGGGTATTCTGGGAAGAACATCTGTAATTTTCAACAGATTACCAAAGGCATCGGAGACCCCAAAAAGGAGACAAATGATGACAATGAAATGTATAAAATGGGATGCCAAGGATTTGAATGAGGGGCCTGGGAAGGCTCCCCAGGGCACGGCCAGGCCCTAATCTCTAAGGGAAACCACTGCATACCCAAAACCTGACCACTCCTCCCCACCTCCTCACCACCACCCTGGTTCAGGCCCCCTCAATGGCCTCCTGCTCCTGCCCTCACCCCTGCAGTCTCTTCTCCCTGCTGCAGCTCAGGGTTCCTGAGGAGAGCTAAGTCCAGTCATGTCACTCCTCTGCTCTGGACTCGGCCATCAGGGCACTGGGCCTCCACGTACCTCTCTGATCCACCTACCACTGTACTCCTACCCGCCCCCATCCCAGGACCCCGGACACTCAGCACACTCCAGCCTCAGGGCCCTTGTCCTGCA